TTTAATGACCTTCATCTCTACTTCGCAAGAATATTATGCCACGCACCCGCACCCTTAGCTTCCTTGATGGCACTTCAGTACTTGACATTCCAACCCAGGTGAGTCGTATCGTCGCCTACACAATCAACCCCGCCCAGCTGGTCACCTGAGTGCTAACAACGTCTTCCACCTTTGCAACCGAAGCTCTCCAGCCCTTCCTGAACCAGTACTGGTTATTTGGCACCGTGCTCGCCCTTCCCTTTAGCACCCTTCGACACCGGGCTTCACCTTGGCTTTAGGACTCATCACGCCTCGGTCTTTACATTTCTCCCATCTGCTACCGCTGGGCCCCCTCTACTCGACCAATACATAAAGGACGCCTCATCGCAGTCAGCACCTTGAATCCACCTCCCAACTCGACACGCAGACCAAATTGACCTTTCACCCATCAAGCCCACAGCCCCCACCCCCAGTCATCCCACTCAGTCAACACCCTCCAGAAAATCAGCATGTCCGCCATCCGAGCCCCCAACCACCCATCTATCCTGACTGGTTTATTTGAGCCTACCAACGAGGTGAGTCACTCTGGTCCACTCACGATCTTCTACCGCTGACATACATTATAGTCTCTACCCGATTCTCAACGCGGAAATCAGTACGGGGTGTTGACCACCCCAAGCTTTTTCCAGTGTGCTGGATACCTAAACTCCGAACCAACCGACTTCGAGGTCAACTTAATTACCAACACTGCGCTCAACAACATCCTTGAGGTGGGAGCATTATATCTCATCAGCGGTCGGTTCATAGCTCTCAATGACGGCTCAACTCCAACTCTCAGCTACAACCATGATACAATTGTCAGAGTCGCCCGTGTTGGCTCGGCAGGTCCCGAAGTGACAAACAGGACATCAGCCGTAACACTCGGTCATGTAGTTGAGAGGGCTGAAGTCTTAAGTGGAGAATCCGAGGGTGGCCCTCGACTTGAAGTTATCGTTGCACATAATGACTGGGATGCGATTGTAAGTCAATCTCATTGGAAATTCATTAAATCAGGGTCAAACTGACCCTTTCTTCAGGCAAGGACCCATCGCCGCTTTCTTGCCAAGTACATCATTCCTGGAACAAAAAACTTCATCAAGACACACACCCTCTACCAAGTTGGTAGAGAAATTCAACTTCTTGGCCATTTGGTCGACTTTGAGTTAGAGCGCCACATGGCTGTTTTTGCAGTGAGTGTGCTACCTTTCCTTCGTCTTCGACAACTAACTCGAACTTCAGGTCCATTCTGTCAGTCTCACTTCAGGACACCAATTAGGCCGCCAAGCTGCTTGTCCATCGCCGTCAGGTAGCGCATCTCCTCGGAATGGGCGAAGATTGTATGTCCTAGGTACCTTACTTTTTGTTGACATGCACTAATTCATGAACAGCGTCAAGTTCGGGTCTCAACCAGTCCCGCCAGCAGCTCAACCACCCTGCCAACCTCACGTTGACGGTGGAACCTCATCCACATCACTTGCTCAGAACAGCAAAGGAAAGCAAAAAGCAAGTTCAAATTCAGACATCAACGATAGTGATTCTGATCAGGACGAAACTACGGTTCCGGATTCATCCAGCCAAACCAGCTTACCCAACATCACAAAGAGAGGCCGACCCCGCAAGAATATTCTCCAGGAGGCCGCTAAACGAATGAAGCGGACTTGATAGAAACATCACCGTGCACTCCCGGGTCTCCCAGATCATCCAACAGCCACTTCGACTCCCTGTGCCCTCCTAGCCATTGATATATTTGATCATTGGGCTGACCTCATTGTTTTCAATATCTTTCTCTCTCATATTACCTTCTCCTTACATGTAAATAGTTGACTCATTGTATTCAAGATCTTCTCCTTTCATATCACCTTTTCCTTACATGTAAATACTTGAACGGCTGCTCCGGAATTATATTCTCTGCCTAAACTTTTACTTCGCTCGCCATTGTGGCTCAAAGAGAACTGAATCATTTAACCAAACATTATCTGATTCACCCTCAACGGTAGGTATAATTCATCACATTGGCAAGTGCGTGAACTGTAATAAGGTGTGGCACGTTCACATAAATAAACCCACAGACAAAACATCAAAATACAACAAGAAATCAAGGAAGTCTCGCGCTGACAAATGGAGATGAGATGGTCACACTCTGTCGAATCCACGTAATACTTTTAATCAAAAACTTAATAGCCTGATACCGGAGTACTCAAGGTAGTCGTTGGAGTTAACCATCAAAGACAAGGTCGGGGCATCAACCTGGGAGAGGAAAGTTGTGGCAGCGAGCAGTTGAACACATTAAGGGACCTCTCGACGGGGTTAATCAACGCGTTGATGAGCGCTGGAATAAACTTTTAAATGTCTTTGTTGGAGACCAGCGATATGATCAAGGCCGGGCGCATGAGCGCGTTGAAATATATTTTTATTGAGTTCCAATGGCCAGATAAACATCAGCAGACTTACAGGGAAAGATTTAGTTAAAGAGCTGCGGGCGGCCTTCTTGACATCAGCTGTGGTGTCCCAGATTGCGGTCGCGAGGACTGGGACGAATTCGGGCATGGCATGGGCGTTTTTTTTGGCGGCACTGACGACCACAACGTCCAAGACCTTCAGGGCACCAGTCTCGACTTGCCATTTACTAGCAGTGGCGATCCGATTCAGCAAGACCCGCAGAATCAAGTGACGAGTCCAAGGGGTCATGATCTTGACCAGGCTGTTCACGGCACTCAAAGCGGCTCCAGAAACGGCGGGTAGCTTGTCGCCCAAGGCCTCCACGAGTTCGTTGAGCACCTGATGATCACCGTGGGCGAGTAGGAAAGGTTCGACCGCGTGCCCCACACTCTGAGTGCAATGTTCTGATAGCAGAGTACAGGTAACTTCACGAGCAGAGGTTCGAGTCCATTGGTAGATGGGGGGAAGGCGTGGCTGTAGATAGCAAATCAGTTCGATGGAATAACTTTGGGTGGATGATGAAGGTGATTACGAATTCCTGTGCCACCCTGGCCATCCTCAATGCAGTCATGAACATTCCCAGCACGAATTTCAAGATCCAACTGGGCCAGGAGTTAAGCCAACTGAAGGAATTTTCACGGGGTAAGTGCGTCAGAAGAGAAACCGGGTTCGCATCAACACTTCCAAAGATATACTGATCGAAATCCTGGCTGATCCGATAGATCTCAACTCGCAGATGACCGGAGAACTCTTGACTAATATGGAGAGGATCAGAGTAGGTGTGAAAGATTTGGTCGGTTTGGAGAGATCGAAGGAAAAAACGTGATAGGAGAAAAAATATGCTAATGAGTCACTTTTGGATCGTTTTCTCTTTCTCTTTCAGTTCATAATTTGTTTGCACGCCTCGACCCATTCCAACGAGACGAGCCGAAGCAAATGAGCACTGAGGATGCGTATCGTGAGCTGAGATTATGAACACTCACCCCACCAAATCTGAGCCTCCTTCACTAACCCCTTTTTCTATCTCTGTTCTCCTCCAAACCACAACCCCGTCGGATCGGTCTTCGCTTAGGCCGCTTCTTATTAGGGTGATGGAGTGGTTCACTTCCTGCTCGTTTGTGGCGAGAGTCGGATGAATCGGAATCTGATGGTCAGAATATAAATCAGTATTATTGGTGTTGGCTTTGTTTTTTTGGGGGGTTGTAGCTTGAGCTTACCCGGGTGTTGATGATGGTTCTGCTGATCGTTTATTTTGTCGAGACCTAGCCGAACAAAGGCTTGAGGACCTGCTCACAGTATACCAGGAATATCAGTGCGGTTTAAAACCGAGTGAGAGCAAGAGAGTAGACTGAGAAACTGACCTTGATAATTTTGACCAGCTCGGTAACAGCAGCATCTCGGGCGGCCTTGTTGTTGTTAGTTAGAAGAACGTTGATATCGATATGAACAAAAAACAATCAGGAAAGGTTACGTCAGCATCGGAGGAAGTAAGTAGGATACCTGAAGCGAGTGATTCGGGTGGGAACCCCGCGCCCTTGCGTTGGTCCGGGTGAGAGTTTCCACCGAATGGTCACTTTAGGGTTGTGAGGCCTGGCTTTCCCCTCGACACCTCCTAAATACCACCTCATTACAGGTTCGCACTGTCGGTCGAGATCTCTTGCTCCTCAATTCATCCTCCCCCACGCTTTCAAATCCAACATATATATCAGTCACCCGAACAATAGGCACCAACGCAATCTCGGATCAGTCGACCAGAAGACGTGAAGTTGGTCTCACTTCAAAATTGTCTTGAAGTACTCACATCAGATCGGACGAACATTAAACCGGATCTGAAGAATCAACAAAATACTTCCGCTACGACGCAACTGGAATTGCTGGTCCAATAGACTCCGCCGAATCATCGTCTGGCGTACAACGTGCTGATCGGGCAACTCAGATTAGACCTCAGATTGTAGGTAAGTTGTTGACTTGGATGTTCATCAAATTTAGCTACTTCCGCTAACTCGACATGAGGTCATCATTTAGGCACGATCTCGACCTCAAAGTCAATCCAACTCAAACTGCCGGATCTGACTACTCCAACCCGGCCACCGTGCAGCCCCCAAAAACCGGATACGAAAGCAACAAACTTGTTCAGGCAATCAACGCAATAAGTCACGAAGTGATTCCGATCTGTTTTAGAATTTGGTTGGGACACTTAGTGATGGAAGCGAAGAGACCCAAGACGAGGAACATTCTCAAGTCCATTGCACGCAGAAGAAGACGTGCTGCAGACCGAGAATCCGAAGTTGCTCTTGAAATTGACGACTCATCCTACTCACGAAGGCGGGTGATTTGGTCGCGCCGGCGATTCATAAAGTTCCATCTCTATCCAGAAATCAGGGCGGAGAAGAAACGGAGGCCTCGCCATCCTACAACGGAAGAAGTTGAAGCTGCAAAGATAAGGGCATCGAGGTTTCGTAAATTTACACACGGGACAGTCATAATACGCGATTCAACAAATAACGGGCAAATAATTGCTGTCGTTGAGTTTACACCCCTAAGTGAACTCTCCCCGGCGGATAAGGAAGAGGTCAACTCGATTACGACCTACCTGCACCAAATGAAGCAATTTGTCCATCCAATAGCCATCCCGACCTGGGGCGGACGATTGTGGGGGTTGGTTGGCGT